ATAGTTTCACCTCATTAAAAAAAGAAAAATAGAGGAATTCCAAGAGTTTATTCTTAACTGCAAGTTGGGAAAATGAGTGAGGAGTGAAGAGGGAATGCAGCTCATAATAAAATGAAGATATGTTCCAGTAAGGGATCATTGAGAGAATGTTTGAAGCATGGCTTCTGGGAAGTTAGAAGCAAACTGAAGAAGGTAACAGGTGTCATGACAGTTTTGCCCAACTGTCATTTCTAAGCAAGTACTTACATTGTCATGATAGAACTATTGTTTGGTATTCTATACTTTTGTTTGGCTTATTGGTTCTCCAAACTCATTGGCATGACAACTAAAGTTTAGTAATTGCAACCATTTCTCATTTAATGTTATAACAGTTATCTGTCAGCGTGTGATTGTTCCAAATATTATTACAGATCACAAGATATCTTGGAGATATATGAATCTATGTTTTGTAGTTAACAATAATTCCATTTCTTATCAGTTGTGTAGGGTCCTGATATCACTTCAGCTCTTTTCTGCTCACCACTCCCATAGAGACACAGCCAAGTGACCTTTGAGTGTTTCTTCTCCCAAAAGAGTTTCCACAGAGAACAAAGTGTACATCATGCAGGTTTAAGACTCCCCAGATACTGAGTGGGAGGGATTAAGTATTTTTTAAAAGACTAACATACCCATTTTATTCAATTTGTTTTTTGACTTCAAGGAGTTTAGATGTAAACACACAGAGAAAGTTGGAAACAGATTTATGAACTTGTTATTATTGTTGTATATTTACTTTTAAATCAGACAAGCATAAAAACGAAGGAACTGCCCAGATGATTAAGCCAAGAACAAAAACACCCACCACAAGGAAGTGAGTAAGAAAATAAAATAAGGATATGACATAAAAAACGCAATGGTTTAATATCTAAGGGAGTTTAAGGTACTAGGCCACAGCCAACAGATAAGAATCTTGTTAAGGCTCAGTTTATCACATCTTTGAATTTACTAAGAGTGAGTGTTAAACTAAATTGTTAACAGCTGGTTGTCTACCTAAACCTAGCAAAGCTCCTGGGAGCTATTATACAGATTTTTAAAAGCTGTCCTAGTGTGCCTCAAATTTTTGTTGTTCTTGACCACTCTTGGTATGGAAGCCTTTGTCTGCAAACCATTCCCACATCTTTGGATAGGATCAGAGCTATTTGTCCCTGAAGCTTTTCCAGGTTTCCACAGTTATCTGTCACCATGTTCAAAAAATGCCTCCATGAGTGGCACCAAAAAGTAGAAAGACTTTTTCTGGAGATTAACAAAGAACAACAAATGAAGTCATATCCCTAAGCTTGGGAAAATACTGGTCAAATTCACAACCTAGAGTCCCCTTTAAGAACTAGATATGATTCTTACTTTCTTATGTAGATGCCCCTTTCTGCCAATAAAATTGCTTTGTGTCATACATTTTGAAATCGGGTTAGCTTTTTCTCCCCTTTGGCCTGTCAAATGGATGGCTGGGGGGTGGGGGGGAGGAGGGATCAAACTTTACAGTCTGGCATTTTCCCTTTTGGCAACTTTCATTTCCTGAAAATTTTGGATACTTAACAAATTATATGTTTTAATGTCTTGTCACTTAAAGTGTATTTATGGAGGTAAAAAACACCTTTCCCTGCTGAACAATATGTTGATGAGGGAGTATGCTGCAAACAATGCTTTATCTGACACGAAAACCCCACACGGAATATCTATAATTTTATTTGCCAAACATCGTTGTACACATGTTGGAGTAATTATACACACATTTAAAGAGCAACCGGGAAAGATGGCTAAGATTGTCGCTCACAAGGATTAACTGATGAAAATTTTCCATCAACCCAAGTAGAAAAATCTACAAAACCCTTCACAAAAAACACCT